AAGGGGTTATGAAATGCTTACTATTTTTGTTTTAGTCAAAACAATTGTCATTGTAAAGTAAATGGGACGTTACAAAGTAATTCTGGAATGACCCTCAAGGTTAGGATCACCTGGGGAGCTTTAGAACACATTGATAATTTTGGACACTGTATCCAGAGATTCCAATTTAATTAATACAGTGTACTACCTGAGCACTGGAGTTTTCAAGTTCTCCCAGGTGATACATGAAAGTTGAGTACCTCTTATCTATAAAGTAGTTCAAAGATAAATTTATGAATAAGAGGCACAAGAAAACACATTTCACATGTCAGGAAAGTTGTTAATTTTCAGGGCTGTGCAAAATAGAATGCACAGAGTTTCAGCAGGGCTGGTGCATGAAGAATAAAAAGAGTACTGAATTGCTATTCTTGGGTTATCCTTATTATTATGTTGTACTTGTTTCCACAATCATAGCTTCTTGTGTTCCCTATACTTTCCTCTATCTATTCATTCACTCCAATGGAGCATTCTTACTAAACTCTTTAGATGTAGGGACCATTTCACCAGAACATAAGGTAGTTACAAGGTAAAGAATTGATTCTCAGTATTTCTTTTCTTTTTCTTTTTTTTAAAAATTAAATCATAACTGTACATTAATGCAATCATAGGGTACAATGTGCTTGTTTTATATACAATTTGAAATGTTTTCATCAAACTGGTTAACATAGCATTCACGGTATTTTCTTAGTTATTACATTAAGACATTTATATTCTCGGTATTTCTTACATCCAATATTTTGAGTGAATGAATGAACTCACTATTAGATTACACCTTCTTACTTCTCTATTATTGTTTCTTTAAAGATTTTGCAAATTTAATTTACTATGTTACATTATTTTTATTATGGTGAGTGGGTGTTAGTGAAGAGGGTTTGGTTAATGGGTACCAACATAGTATTAGTTAGAGGGAGTAAGATTTAATGTATGCTAGCAAAGTAAGGTGATGATAGCATTGCATATTTCAAAGGAGTTAGAGGAGAGGACGTGAAATATAATACATTGACATGGTATTTGCTCAAGGTGATGGGTAATCTCAGTTACTTGACTTGATCATTACACATTCTATGTATGTAATAAAATATCAAATGTGCCTCATAAGCATGTGCAAATATGTGTTGTGTATTAATAAAAAACATTGAAAAGTTTTAAGAAAATATCAACATTCTGAAATACCTCCTTTCTGTGCAACATTTTAGGATTCTAGAGTCAGGGGAACAGGAGAGAAGAGGATGTCTATTACTTTTTATTCAGAATGACATCAATGACTCCACCTTCTTTCACCTCCTACCATGTCCTTCAGTTTTTGAGGTGTACTTCTAAGGTAGAAGACCAAAAGGTGGAAGCTAACTTCAGGTTTGCTTTTTTTTTCTCTTTTTTTCAAATGGCAGGTGAAGGTTGATCGCTGCTCTTGGTGGCATGGGAACCGAGAGCAATGGAAGTCTTGATCTTCTGTCTGTCTTCCTGACTGGCATCCCAGGACTGGAGTCTCAACATGGCTGGCTCTCCATCCCTTTCTTCACCATGTACATTGTAGCCATTGTAGGCAACACCCTAATTATGGCAGCAGTTAAGACAGACCCTGCCCTCCATGAGCCCATGTACCTGTTCCTTTCTATGTTAGCTATAACCGAGGTGGGCGTCTCTGTGTCTACACTGCCTACTGTTATGGGCATTCTTTGGCTTGATGCCCAAAAAGTTGACTTCGATGGCTGCCTGGCCCAGATGTTTTTCATTCATACCTTCTCTTGCATGGAGTCAGGAGTCCTATTGGCTATGAGTTATGACCGCTTTGTAGCCATCTACAACCCACTGCGCTATACAGTCATCCTGACCCTGCCCCGTATTATCTGCATGGGTCTGGGCATTACACTGAAAAGTGTGGCACTCATGGCCCCACTCCCAGTCCTTCTGAAGCAACTTCCCTATTGTCACATTAATGTCCTCTCTCACTCCTACTGCCTCCACTCAGACCTGATCCAACTGCCTTGTGCTGATACTAAGCTCAATAGTGTTCTGGGCTTGGCCATTGTTCTGTCCACTTTTGGACTTGATTCACTGCTCATTGTGGTCTCTTATGTGCTTATTCTTTGCACAGTGCTGGGCATTGCTTCTGGGGAGGGACGGTGGAAGGCCCTCAACACATGTGTGTCACATATTTGTGCAGTGCTTATATATTATGTGCCTATGATTGGTGTGTCTGTGATGCATCGTGTTGCCAAGCATGCTTCACCTATGGTCCACACACTCATGTCTAGCATCTACCTGTTTGTGCCACCTGTGCTCAACCCCATCATCTACAGTGTTAAGACCCGACCAATCCAGCAGGGAATTATAAACATGTTCTCCTACAAGAGGGGATTGCTCTGAATTACTTCAAGGGGTTAGGATTATTTTTAAATCTATAAACTGATAATGTTTCTTTTAGGGATAAAACCTTCCATTAGGCATATTCAAGAGAAATAGGAACAAGAAATTCAAAGTGTTGACACAGTCTTGAATCTGAATTATAAGAGTTGATTCCTAAGCCCCTTTTATCTTACATTTTATTGATATAAAAAGGCCTGACAAGTTCTTGATCTCATACTAGAAAAAGTGCTGCATTTCTCATTGCTGACTATCCCCCTTCAAAGTACTACCTTGGGAATCTATTCACTGATGCCAGCACATGGTCAATCTTTCAAAACAATTTTGGAACACTTTTTTTTCTATAAAAGCTGTCTTCCGATTGCCTTTGAAGTCCTGAATGTAATTAAAATGGCTTATTTCAATACTTCCTTTATCTTTGGGTTAAAAACAAAAGTCAGTAGGGGCCAGATTGGGTGAGTAGGGAGGGTGTTCCAGTACAGTTATTAGTTTATTGGCTAAGAACTCCCTCACAGACAGTGCTGTGTGAGCTGGTGCATTGTCATGATGTAAGAGCCCCATCTTTCTCATGATTTTCAGTTAAAATCTTGCTGTTTCTTTATTGATGTTTCATTGGTCTGCTATGCTTCTCACAGCCAGCTGACAATTTTGATGTACAATTGAATGGATTTCTGCAATGTTCTTATCAGTTCTGTTTGTTACTGGTTTCCATGACCTCTTTTTATCAGTGACACTTTATCTCCTCTGAGAAAAATGTTTAATCCATTTGTACACTGCCATTTTCTTCATGGTTTTCACATGTTACATTTAATTTGCATAGAAGCCATCCAAGAGAAAGGACAGTTGCACATAAGGCCCACCAGGACAGGAGTTATGGGAATCTTTGGAATATTGATGGTAGCCAAGAACCTAGGACCTGATGTGATAATAGGCAAGAAATTAGGTTGAGAATAGAAGGAAGCTCAAGATGGATCGAAAAGGAAGTGTGAAATTTAGCAGTTGGGTAGGTATAGAAGAAAAAGTGGAGGTGACTGAAATACTGCTCAGAGAGAGGGAGGAAAACAGGGAAAACTAGAATCAGGTCAGAGACCAAGCAATTAAAGGGAATTGTCACCGTGGTCTAGTGGCCCAGCTGTTTAGAAAAATGAGTATTAAAATATCTATTCAATTTGGAAACACAAATGTCACTGGTAAGCTTTGGAAAGATATTTCAGTAGGTGATAGGAAGAGAAACCAAATTAAAGTGGTTTGAAGGATGAATTATTATGAAGAATCAGCTTTTTTATAAAGGGGGGATAGACTGCCCCCCTAAGGAGTAAATGAAGACTTTTATTCTTTAAATAAATGAATAAAAATGATGACTGAAATGAATGGCTACTAATTTTTGAAGTGTTCTGAGAATGAAAATTGTTTATGTGCTTGTCAGGAAATACATAGCACTAACGGGTTCCCAGAATTGGTGGAGTTTAACAATGTTCACCCAAAAGTGTCCTAAAAAAGGTCATTTAACTCAAGAATTTAGGAAAGAAATGCAAAATAAAATTTAGAAGAAATGGAGAAAATAAAAAAAAATATACTGAATTTTTTAAGTGGAAAAATAAACAGAAGAATTAAATACATTCAAATATTGTTTTTGAAAGAGCCAAAGTAATTAAAAACCCTCTAGCAAATCTAATTGAGATAAAGAAATACAGGAAAACATTTAGAAATGAAATGTAGTAAGAGAGCCAAAAATGTAGAGAAATTATAGAGGCCAGTGAGAGGTCACCATAAAAGAGTAAATAATGGGAACTAGAATGTTCTCTGGGGCTTAAACAAAAAATTAAAAGCTGAGAGGAGGCCACACTGAGAAATGTAGCATCAGAGCATTAGCTCAGAGGAGACATGAGGTATTATTTAAACACGGTGGAAAGAGGTTATGTCTGCTGCCTTATAAAAATTTTATCTTTTTAAAAAATTCAGCTTAATATGAGGGCGCATAAAATTAGGTTACATAGCTTGTTTTTGTAAAGGTAAAGCCTGAGTTGTAGTTGAGCCTTCACCCAGGAAGTACTCCATGTAGCCATGTGACATGATGCAGGAGAGAATGCCAGGGAGGAAGAAAGTTGTCTGGTGAATGCGAGAAGCTGGACACTAAAGCTAAAGCATATAGGTTAGACTTTGATTGAACTGGTAGCATTCTATTCAAATAGTTTATATACAGATTATATTTAATCCTAACCAAAATACAAGTATGTAATATAATTATCATCCACGTCTTACAGAGGAAGAGACTGAGTCAAGGAAAAGTTAAGTGAAGATGAAGGAGTTGCTGTGTTTTCATACAATCCTTTCTGTATTCCTACTCTAGGCATGTAAGGAATTGGGAAAATAAAACCTCATGTTACAAAATATGTTTGAGAATCACCTCATATTTGTGTACTTTCTGCCAAACATTACCCACTCCTTCCTACATCCCACTTCAGTTCACAGCCAGACTATGGAGAACCTCATATTAGACACCACGATTTAAGGTAACATTAACTGTATTAACTGCAAAGCTAAGGTCACCCGTAATTATACAAAGCAAAAACTGCCTGTTTTACTTTGGCCATTAGCTAAACTCTGGGTCTTTTTTTTGATAGCATTTGGACAATGCCATGACATATCTCTTTGGTCTTAATGCTGTAAACAATGGGGTTGACAACAGGTGGGAAAAAGAGATAAGCATTGGCCATCATGACTTGCACCAGAGGAGACACGTGATTTCCAAAGCGGTGCACCATAGACAAGCCAATCATAGGCACGTAGTAGGCGAGCACGGCACAGACATGTGAGCCACATGTGCTGAGTGCCTTCTTCCTCCCTTCACCAGTGGCAATACCGAGCACAGTGTGGAGTATGAGTCCATAGGAGACCACAATCAGCAACGAATCCAACCCGAAAGTGGAAATAACAATGAAAAGCCCATAGATATTGTTAATAGAAATGTTTCCACAAGGCAGATGGATGAGGTTGGGGTGAAGACAATAAGAATGGGAGAGGACATTGTGACCACAGAAGGGTAGGCGCTGGAGGAGAATGGGCAGTGGCGTCATGAGCACAATGCTTTTCAGCCCAATGAGAGCTCCTGCACTGAAGATGCGGGGCAGTGTCAGGATGGCTGTATAGTGCAGTGGACTATAAATGGCCACAAAGCGGTCCACAGACATGGCCAGCAGCACAGCTGACTCCATAATGGAGAAAGAATGGATACAAAACATCTGGAAAAGACATGTTCCAAAACTAATCTCAGTGGCATCAAATAGAAATATGCCTAGCACTGTAGGCAAGGTGGATGCAGAGACCCCAACTTCAGCCAGTGCTAGCATGGCAAGGAAGAGATACATGGGCTGATGTAAGGTGGCCTCTGTTCTGATGACATAGAGGATGGTGCCATTTCCAAGGAAGATTATCATGTACATTAGGCAAAAGGGCACCGATATCCAGTGGTGCTCTGCCTCTAGCCCTGGGATGCCAACCAAAATGAACATCGTAGGTAGGAACTCCAAGGAGCTATTGGAATTTTTCATGTTGAAATCTCATCCCATGGGATCAATACCACCTTGAAAACCAGGGAAAAATGAATGAGATGACATCATTATGTAGAAAGATCACTGGGCACTGAGGAAAGAGAAGAAGAAAACAAACTCATAGATTTATGTGGCTAAAGGTCTTATTTCTGAAAACCAACAAATGGCCATCATCAGGAAAGTTGCAGTACAGAGGATGCTACAGTTGCTATCCCAGAGAAGTGCTGGACAGATAGAAAATTATGCAGGTAATTTATAGCGCATCTTGGATCAGCTAAAAAAGAAATGATTGCCCTGTATTAATGTGGAGATGCTTGGCTCTTAAAAGCTGCTGGGGAGACAGACACGTATACAAAGTTCCTAGCACAAGATATGGACTATTGTTGGGAACATGGACTAAGTTTTGGTAAATATGGGTATAAATATGAGGTGCAGAACATGATATGTAAAAACAGCTAAAAAGTACCTGATGAATGAGTATAGCTGTATAAATAATTAAAGTTTAAAGCCGCTGAAATAGTGGTAACTAGAGCCTAGAGCAAATGGCAGGAGAACTAAACTGGAACTGCATGGAGTTTGGAGCTACACTAGGTTTAGCCATTCTATGCTTTGAAAAGACTAGGAAGCAAATGGAAAGATTATGTGTAAAGGCCTGGGTGATTCAGGAGGAGGTCGGAACCTAGGTTGATGGATTTGTCTGTACACTTTCAGGTTTATGAAAATACTCTCTCCATGATGGCATCTATAATCTGTTGATTCAAAAGTTCTCTTAAAAAACTTACCTCATCCATTGGACTTTTTTTTTCTGGCTCAGACACACAGCTTAATATGCTGAAGCAGCAACACTGAGAATCTGAACAGATTGTCTAGGTATGTTCTTTTAGACAGGGAGAGGAAGGGAGTGGGGGAGAGGAGAAAACCATCTGCCTACAATGGGTGTGTTTCTAGCCAAGCATTGTCTGGGCCACTGCAATTATAACAATAAAAGCCTGAACTAGCAGGGTAGGAAGGACCTCTGAATGTAGTTTTCAACTCACTCAACCCAAACATACACACACACACACACACACAGAGATATAAACACACACTCCTACTTATATATTTATATATATATCAACATACTTCCCACATGTGTTGGAAATTTGTATTTCTCTGATATGAACTCTCTGTTCTGCCACTGCTAAACTTATCCAGAAACAAGGACTTCACTGTTTTATACTATCATTGCTCTGTAGATCTATAATCAATCAGCACTCCTCTATGTCAAGCACCGTTCTGGAACCAGGCAACCCAGAGTGCTGGGCCTACTGAGAAAACACTCTCAGCAACTTTTGACTATAGGTCACAGAAAACATATCTTCTGCCAAAAACATTTATATGCAATCATCACATATGCTGACGTCTTCTCTCCAGTCTAGTTATAATTCTATTAAGTGCTATAAAAAAATTCAGAATAGCAGGAGAGTGTTTTCAAGGTAAAAACCTAATTTATTCTTAAAATTCAGAAAAAGCTTTCTTCAGAAAGTGATATTTTACCTGAGATTTGAAGAATTAGTAGACATTTTCTAGGCTAAATTAAGTTGGGTGTGGTGTGGTGCACAAACAAAAGAAAAGATAAGATAGCAAGCATGCTGACAAAAACTGAAATGAAACATAGAAAATAAAACTGTTGAGGTCACTGGGATATTAAAATCACTGAATTTTTTCCAAATTTTTCTATTAGAAAAAATGAAGACTGTTGATTTACTAGAATTTTGAGATCATTAATTTTTTTATAATTTTTCCTATCATGAAAATGTGGAAAGAAAAAAAAGAAAAAAAAAAGTTACTGCCTGAATAAATACAGGATCCTGAGGGACTTATGCTCTGATGCAGTTGAACTCAGTAGATACTGGCTTAGGAAAAACTCTGTGATATAGTCCATGTCTGTGCTATAAAAACTACAGGGCAGGGAAATTCAAGGACAAATCATTGACATTGACAAATGATCACACATATCAGAACCCTATATGGCTGAGGGACTTGAGGAAAATTTTTCCTCCTCATTTTTATGCCTCTCCTCCTTATTTTATGCCCCCTAGGTTACTTTATCCAAAATTTCAATATATTCTTAGTTCTTTAAATGGACCAAATATGCACATTGATCTGTTTCTGGCCTGAGCAGCTGTTTCTGCCACGTGTTTCCTACTGAACTCATGGTCCCATTGCACCTTACATCTTGTCTGCCACATCCCAAATGACCTGAAATTTGTAAGAGGCATATTTTGTTGGATTCATGAAACTAAGTTCTCCCTTTTTTCCTCTCCCCCTCCATGTTATACATTTTTTTCCTATCTCTCTTATTTTTCTATATCTCTTATCTCACTTCTTCAGAGTCTCTCCAGACAGAGATCTTAACATGTTATGTTTTTTTTTCCTATCTTTCTTGTTTTTCTATATATCTTATCTTGCTTCTTCAGAGTCTCTCCAGACAGAGAGAGATCTCCAGAGGAGAGATCTTAAACACGTTTTCTGAAAGAGATCTTAAAACACATTTGAGCTTAAGAATTATTTGAGGTTAGGAGGTGACAAAAGGCATCATTTGGGACAATGTAATAGGACACAACGAATTAGCAGAATGAAAGAGAAAGCAGTACAGTGAATACTACACTCCTGGAGCTAAACAGAACTAGAAGTGAATCCTCCATGCAGTACAATCTTACCTGCTTTACCTGTGTTCACATTCATTTCTTTATTTTTAAAGATAAAAATGTTAATTCTTTCCTTGGAAAGTGGCTCTGAATATTTAGTGTGAGATTCAGCAACCAGGGAACCTTAGTATTCCCCCCACTCTGTCAGGCATTCCCAGAAGGGGAAAATCACTATCAGCGTCTCTCCTACTTTCTGTTAATAGTTCTCTTCCTTGTCCTTGCTTCACTGATACTCAGACCACATCTGTGAGGGAAGCAAAAGGCAAAGATGAGCATATGAACAAGATACGCCCATTGCATGAGTGACCCAAGGTAATATGCTAACAAAACCATTTCTAGACTCTGTGGTGTTCTCTGATGTTTTTGTTCTTTTATCTGCCATCAAGTTTAGGAAATGCTGCTTCTCATTCTACCACACAGGTTCAGGAAGGTAAGGAGGTGATGACTGACCTAATACAAATTTACAGGGCCTTAAATTGTGGTTAGGACTCCTGAAAGCTGTCAGGAGGCAGGGAGTAGAGATCACAGGTTTGAACACAAACCATAAGCAAAACTGACCTCTGAACATCAGGTGGGACAGAAAAGCTCACCTCGGCAAGTCTCTGTCATCTTGGCATTATCTTCCTCGCCCTGGGCTGGGATGCTGCCTCCCTCTTATAAAACTGATCAGAAGCTCTGTGAGTGGAGCAGTACCAAGGGAATTAGGTTCCCTAAGGAGCAATTACCCAGGTAATTACATCACCCTTTCTCAATACCCACAGACCCTAATAGAAACAAGCAAAGAGATAGAGCGGATATCTCTGTGAAATGAGTATACTAATAGTTTTTATCTAGTATGATAAATCAATCATTAGTACATGTAAATTGCTTAGAAAGTATCTGGCTTATAAAAAGTGCACTATAAAGATTGGCAAATGCATTAATAACTATTATTGGACTATTATATACTGAAGAAATAGTACATTAATCTACTGTTGTCTTCAACTATCACTTTTTAAAATTATTATTATTATTATTTTTGCAGTTATTTTTTGGCTGGGGCAAAGTTTAGAACCTTCCACCTCTGGTATATGGGCCCGTGCCCTACTCCTTTGAGCCACAGGCACCAGCCTTCAACTATCACTTTTATGTATTTATCACATAAGGAACAGGGCACAGAATTGCTAGTGTTCAGAGAATATCAAGGATGTTTAATTAATATCAGGTGATGGAATCCAAGGGGTTAAGCTAGTGTGAGAAAAAGTTCTAGATTGTGCTGGGGTGAGGATGGAGGGAAGATTTATCAGTAACTACAATGACTAGGGCTTCCCAGCATATGATAATGGCAAAGATCTAGCAGAAAGTGGATATTTCTATAACTTGATGTGTTAAGGAGGATTTGAAAACAAGACCAATGATTTTTGATTGCTTTAAACAGCTGTCTCATTGGCTAATTGTCTGACTGACGAAAGAAAAAACATGTGATTTGCCTTGGATATCTACCATGAGCCATTTATAAAATTTACTAAAATCATTTTGAAAATATATGCCTTTTTATGCTAATTTAATAAGAGAAAAGTGAGCCTTGTATACTTGGTGAGAAGATGCTTTAAATGACAGCTTATGTGATTGAGATTAGATCCATCTAAGTCAGAGGTTCCCAACTTGTGGGTTGCGACCCTTTTGGGGTCACCTAAATACATCTTGCATATCAGATATTCACATTATGATTCATAATAGTAGCAAAATTACAATTATGAAGAAACAATGAAAATAATTTTATGTTTGGGGGTCACCACAACAAGAGGAACTGGATCAAAGGGTGGTGGCATTAGGAAGGTTGAGAACTACTGATCTATGTAATGTTAGCAGTGGGACGTGAGACTTTGATAATATAAAGACAAATAAGCCAAGGCCTTACTAAAGTAAAAAATTCTACTATGAATAAGAAAATAATGCAATTTAAGAAGTATCTGTGATCAGGAAATGGGTTACTCAAGGTTAATAAGGGAAGTACCTCTAGTTGATGATAAATGCATGATAAAGCCATGGAGTAAGTGGCCAAAGTGGTGTTGAAGTGGACATCACTGACATTGAAAAAGATTGGAACTTGTGATTAGGTCTAAGCTCATCATATTAGTGGCATATAGAGACACTGAGCTAAATTTCATATATTTGGTAGATTTTTCCCCAAACATCAGTGTCTGCTTCAAACATTTAGCAGAAATATGCCCACATTGCAGAAAGGCATTTTTCTTTTTAAAGTGGAAATGTGTTCTGGGAAACTTGTTCAAATTTTCCTTTATCAGCCTTCAACACTATTAATGCTTT